CTGGCTCCACCCCGCGGTCGTCTAGGGCCCACTTGATCTTCGGATCGCACGCCGCCAGCGCCCTGGGCATCCCCATGCCAACGCCCAAAGGAACACCCGCAACGAGCTCCTCCAGAAAGGCTCAGTCGGGGCCTCCAACTTCTGCAACAGCGCACCTGCAATGCCCAAGTAGAGTACTTGACCCCACGCGACTCCACGACTCGCGGCAGGCGCGCCCGGCAGATCGGCCAGCCAGGTCCGGAAATCTTCCACGACGTCTTCCTGAATCGGCGAACCCTCGAACTGGCTCGCCGCCAGGTGCATCGTCACCTTCGGCAGCTGGTTCTCACCGCCGAAGGCCTTCTTCAGCCGGGCCCGCGCCTCCGAGACGATAGTCATGCCGAGACCGGGCGGCGTCGTCCTCGAGCTCCTTGGCCAGCGCCCAGGCGAGCACCTCCCGCCGTCGTCTTCGCAGGGCCAATCCCCCCCCCAGGATGCGCGCCAAGCGGGGCGGCCCCTTTCCCGACCGGCCCCCTCCGCCCTGCACTCGCCCCCCCGCGGGCGCAACCCCATAGCGCCATCTTCCTCCGACGCGCCCGATTCTCACCTCCAAACCGTCGTCGATGAACTTCAGCTCCACCTCGTCATCCGGGCCATTGCCCTTCACGTTGTCCACGAGGTTCCTGCAAGGCAGTCCTCCGCCGCGTCTCGCGGGGGCTCGCCCGGCCGGCGAGCCCCGCCAAGAGGACGTCCGCATGGCACGTCTCCTGTGGCCGGCAGTGGCATGGGAGCAGGCGCCCGCTGAACTCCCCGACCTCCTTGACCATGCCCGTCTCGCGCAGCATCGACATGTGCTTCTCCGCCGCCCCCTCGCGGCTGCCGCGGCGCCCCGCGACGAAAAAGGGTTCGCCCACCTAGATGGCCAGCCCCCCTCGGGGCGCGCGCGGCCGACGTAGACCCCCTCTAGCTCGTTGGCACGGCCTTGCTTGACCAGCCGCATCTCCGCCGCCGTGATTTTCCTCCTCTGGCCCTTCCGCTTCTCCTCCTTGTCGCCTGACTCCTCGGCGCCCCCCGTTGCCGCGACGCCCCTCCCCCTTCCCTCCTGCAGCCCCCCCCTCGTCGCCGAGCCCCCCCGTCATCCGCTATTGCATGATCACCCTCCTCTTGAACTCCTGCTGCTTCTCCCTGTCATCGGAATCCTCCGCGATCACCTCCGCGTCGGCCCTGCGACAGCTCCCCTTGCCCTCGCGGCGGCCCCCCCCGCCCCTCTATTGGAACCTCGCGCTGGCAAGGATCTCCTCGGCAACCTCCTCGCACAAACCAGGCGCCCATCCTTCCTTCATAATGCCTCCTCGCTGGGGCTGGGGGCGCGCCGCCCGCCGCAGCTGCAGCGGGCCTACGCGGCGCCCTGCGTCGTCGAAGGTAGGGGGGCCGACAGCGACCAGGTCCGCAGCGCAGAGCGCAAAGGTGAAGGGCCCGCGGAGGACACCGCACGCCCTCTGGAGAAAGACGAGCGAGGCGCAGTAGCCAAAATCGCATCGAATCTCCCCGCTCGCACCTCGCATAGGATGCGCACCCGGTTCTTCTCCTTGCTCATGTTCCGCGAGCCTTCCTTCGTGGCGAAGACCTCCACCATTACCACCGACTTGCCCGCCAACACCTTGAACTTGTCCAGGTAGCGCTCGACGCCCTTCGGCCGCGGCCGAGCGGCGCAGAGGTGAAGGATGCGAAATCCATCTGGCCGCAAAACTCGGCCGTCATCCGCCGCGCCCTCAATGACGCCCCCTCCTGCCCCAGCCGCGGTCGGCGCTGCTGCCTCGGCCGGCTCGGCGACTCAGCGGCGCCGCTGCTCGGCATGGCCGCCGCGGCCGCACGCGCGCGCCGGCGCGTCCTTCTTCCAACGGCGGGAGCATACACGCTCGAACTTGCACTTTTTCAAACCCGCCTTGCACGTCTCGCGCCTGTTGTTGAACGCGAAGCACGCTCCGTAGACCTTGTTCTCGTTCTTGCCCACGCTGCCATCCTTGCCCTTGCCCTTGCCCCCTACCGGCTGCCCCCCACGCGCCGTCGCCCTCGGAGCCCCCGGGGTCGCCTTCCCAGGCCCGCCGTCGGCCGACCTGGCCCTCGAGGGTCAGCGAGGTGAGGAAGTTCTGCCTGCACGCCACCTCGTCTTTCCAAGCACCCCGCAAAGCCTGATTCAAGGGGCAGCCGGAACGAGCGAGATCGCACGCCACTGCACGCACCTCGAACTCGTGCGACAGCACCAGTTGCCAGGAGGGCGGCTGCGCATACTCCCCACTGGCTGTCTTGGCCCGGAGGCCCGCCGCGTGCTCCCCAAGCAAGTAGTCGGCGCACTCGGACCAGAGAGAGGGCTGTAGAGCATGCAAGAGCGGATTCGCCGTCTGCTGGTAGCTGAAGAATGCCCAGCAGGCCCTCAGAAGATTCAATTTCGAGCGCAGTTGCTCCGCGGTGATGGGAAGGGGGACCGAAGGAGCCACTTTCATCGACCTCAGCGTGCCATCTGGGGTCCAACTCGGCATGAATTCCCCGCCATCGCCCTGCTTGGCGTTGATCACGTCCGAAGGCTTTTCTGGCCGCGACTGCATGATCTCGATGTTCTCCGGCATCGTCTCCACCGTGGACCTCGCGGGCAGGGAGTTCCCAGTGGGCCTTCCGGAACGTCGCCCGCATGCCATGCCAATGCGTGATAAGCATAATTTGGGGTCTGTCGTGCACCTCGCGCCCCGCGTCGACCTCGTCGAACTCCGCCGCGCGCGCCCGCGCCTCCGAGCAAGCGCAAATCGCCGCGCTTGATATCTTGACCTTCGTAGCGAGGTCAGGCCCTTCAGGCCGAGGTCTTCCTCCGCGATCTTCCGAGACCCCTCCGCGCCCCGGGCCTGGTTTGCCGAGGGCTTCATTGACGCCGCGCCTGCGCCCACCAAGGACTTCTCGACCGCCTTTGGCACTTTCTCACGGCGGAGCAAGAACGCGAACTCTGAACTCGGTTCCGCCGCCATCGCACGGCGAGCCCCCCAGATTCAGCGCGCGGCCCGATGGGGGGCGAGGGGCAAACCAAGATGCCTGCGCGCCCCCTTGCCACTTCCCCCGCAGACCGCCCCGCCGACAGCACCCCCCAAGCGCGAGCGCCGCCCCCCAGCAGCGAGGGGAAGCCGCTGACCCGACACGTCAGCCAGAATCCACTGATGAATGCAGGCCCAGACCCCTGCGCCCGCCCCGCGGCCAAACTGCCGCAGCGACCCGGGCCGCGATTTCCCTGGCCGCGGCCGGACACTTCGGGCCAACCCCAGGCGATCCAAGCCAAAATGTCCATGGCTCTGGCTGGACACTTCGGGCCAACCCCCCGGAGGCGATCCCGGCCAAAATTCTCACGGCTCTGGCCGGACATTTCGGGCCAACCCCCCCCGCAGGCGACGCATGCCAAACTTTCCACGGCTCTGGCCGGACACTTCGGGCCAAACCCCCCGCGGGCGACCCAGGCAAAACTTCCCGCGGCTCTGGCCCGACAAGTCGGGCCAAACCCCCCAGCAGGCGACCCGGGCCAAAATTTCCACGGCTCTGGCCTCGCACTTCGGGCGAACCCCCCCGCGGGCGATTCCAGCCAAAATTTCCACGACCGCGGCCGATCACTGCGGGCCGACCCCCCCGCGGGCGATCCAGGCCAAATTTGTTCCACGGCTCTGGCCGGACACGTCGGGCCAACCCCCCTGCGGGCGACCCGAGCCAAACTTTCCACGGCTCTGGCTGGACACTCCGGGCCAGACCCCCCGCAGGCAACAAACTGGAACCAGCCCAAGCTGATGCTGAAGCTGATGCTGCATTCCCTGGCCCCCTGAGCCCCCCCCACCGGGGCCCGCTGCAACGTGGGGCAGTCGCTGACCCTACTTGTCAGCCGGAACCCATGCGCAGAAACCACTCTGGGGCAGATGCTCGACGGTCCAAGCCGGAGCCCAGATTCCAACCTGATGCCCCCCGTGGCTGGCTGCGCCGCGGGGGAGTCGCTGACCCAACTTGCCAGCTGGAACCCGCGCATACTTCCGAAAATCTATCCGGGGCCAGCGCTCGATGATTCGGAGGCACGCCGCCGCCCCTGGAAAACTGCTCGAATTTCCGCCCCGGGCCGAGACCCCTGTCCCGGGGGGGGGGGGCTCATATGTTTTTCTTCCCCAGGCCGGGCCCTGCCCGCGCGTCAGAGGCCCCCCACTGCCGACTTCGCGCCGCCCCGACCCGGAAAATAGACGCATGGGCTGGCGCTCACCTCAGCGTGGGGCGTACGGCGCAAGCTGGAACCAGCCCAAGCTGATGCTGAAGCTGATGCTACACCCCCTGACCCACGGAGCCCCCCCACTGGGGCCCCTGCAACACGGGGCAGTCGCTGGCCCTACTTGTCAGCCGGAACCCATGCGCAGAAACCACTCTGGGGCAGATGCTCGACGGCCCGAGCCGGCAATTACCCAGATTCCGACCTCCAGCCCCCCAGGCTGGCTGCATCGCGGGGCAATTGCCGACCCAACTTGAATATCTCCGAAAACCTCACCGGGGCAAGCGCTCGATTGTCAGGGGGTCTGCCGCCCCCTGGATAACTGTTCGCATTTCCGCTCCTGGGCTGAAGCCCGCCAGCCCGCGGAGCGGGGCTCAAAAGTCCCGACCTCGGCCCACAGATAAGCCCCCCTGGCCGCCCGGGACCGGCCCCCCTGGGGCCCCACTTGGCCAAGAAAAACCTCCGGGCTCACCACGGCGCAAAATCTGCGCGCTCCATGAGTCAGGACCCAGATCTTTGTCCCCTATAAGACACGCGCCCTCGCCGCGAGCCCGACACTGACGGCGCGGCCGGGCGGGGGGCTCACTCCGAGTTCCCTGCGCCGTCGGAGGTCGCATCGTCGCTCCCCCCCCCCCCCGGAGCTCTCCGCGAGGAACTCGGCGGGGTTCTTCCTGGGCCCCCCCTCGGCCAACACACCCCGCAGGAGCCTGTGCGCGAGCGGGCCGGCGGCGGGCCCTCGAACGCCAGCTCGCGCGATTTGAACGCTAAGCCCCTGGCTCGGAAACACCCGTGATTCAAATGGATCCGCGCGGTCTCCCGCGCCCGGTCCTCCAGAATCACGTAGATCGCCGTCGATTCCTCCTTTTCGTCTTCGTCCTCCCCAGCGTTTTTCTCGAGGCCGACCCTCGCCGCCACTATCTCGGACACCTCTTTCGGCCCCCCCCGCTGGTGCTCAGCTGCGCTCTTCACCCCGAGCTCCTGGAAGATCGTCTTCGCGCTGTCCTTCGCGGCCCTGGCGATCACGCCCTTCGCCTCGCGGTCCAAGCCGTTCGTCGCTGCCCGGTCGCCCAGCGCCTCGAACGCCTCGCCCTCGTCGAAGACCGCGAAGGCGTCTTCCTTGCCAGCGGCCACCCGCACTATAAGGCAAGCAGTCGTCGCACTGCGACCCCGCGCGCCCTCGCGCACTCGTCAGCCCCCGACGCCGACCATCGCCCCAGGCATTCCCGCTCGGCCCGCGGGGCGCCGAGGGCCGCCAGCAGGCCCGGCAGGGCGGGCCGCTCAGAATGCCCCGCGAGGGACAACGCAGGCGCCTGCGGAAGCACGAGCGCCCCCCAGAAGAGCAACAGCACCATCGCCTGCGCGAAGATGCCGGACGGGCCTCCGGCGGCGGCCATTCTCTTCAAAAAACCCGCCCCTATCCGCCAGAGGACGGACGGGGCAGGAAGAAATCCGCCTCTAGCTCGCTCCACGGTGCCCCGCCAAAGGTCGAAGCCCACCTGGAGCCACCCGGGGCCCAACAAGCAGGCGCCGGCTGGGATGTAGAGAAGGAGCTCGCGCACCCGCCCCCCAGGGCCAAAGACCTTCGCCCAGAGCAACTTCCCAGCGAGCCCGGCCTCCCCCAGCGCCACCTGGCCAGGGCGCAGCCTCTGGATGTCATTCGCGCGGAGCACGCCCCATGCCTTCAGCGGGCGCATCCACCGCCCGATGCGCAACGCCACCGGCTCCCCCAAGTCGCGCGCGACGGCCTCCTGCAACGCCGCGACCACTGCCGCCGGGACTCGCGTTGCCCGCCGAATTGCCTTCAGCTTCTCCCCGACGTCGGCTGCGGCCTTTTCCAGATACAGGCGCAGCTGGTCAGAGCTAGAGATCCGCTCCTCCGCCAGGATGCCTGAGCGCCCCTCAAACCAAGCCAGCGACCCCCGGGACGACGCTGGGAACGCACTCGCCGGCGCGTCCCGCATCCCGTTGACGTAGTCGACGGCGGCGACAGTGTCCCGGGGCCGCGCCCTGGCGCGGCGCCACTGGGGCCATCGTGCGAAGGCCTCCCAGGGCCTGACCCGCGCGCGCAGCGCGCCAGCCCCGGCACCCCCGAGCAAACCAAGCAGGGCCTCCCGCGGGTCACCTGCGCGGCGCGCCTCCACCAGAGCAGGCACCTCCCCGAGCTCCAGGAGAGCGATCTCACGGCGAGCCCATCGGGCCCTCTCCTTCGCGTTCTGCTCACGGTTGCTCGCGCTCTGATCGTCGCGCGCGGCAAGCCTGGCCCCCCCCAACCCCTCTCCTCCCCAACCTCCTCGGCCCCCCGCGCCTTCCCAATGGAGTTCGCCGCGAACGGCGCGTCCCCAAGGCGCTTGCGCGAGACGACGCCCCGCGCGCGACCTTCCCGGTCCGCGGCCTTGTCGACGCGACTCGAAAACCTCGCAGACGCCCCCGCGAGATCGACGGCGTGGACCGCCTCCTCCGGGAAGATCGCGTCGAGCACGCGCTCGGGGCCCTCGTCCATGAAGACCTTGAAGGCGTGGGCCGAACCGAAGCCAGCCCCGCGTAGCCGGGCGCCCATCTCCTCCAGCCTACCGCGCAAGAGAAGATCATCGTCCAAGTCGAGGACCTCCCCTGGCGCAGGCGTCTCCGCCGCGGCGATGGCAGCCGCCGTCAAGGCATCCATCGCCAGCGCGCCAGATGCCGCAGCGCCAACAGGGACGCGCCCGACTACGCAGAAAAAAAGCCACACACACACACACACACACACACACACACACATACACACATACACACACACACACACACACACACACCGGCTCCCGACTTGAGCCGGAAGGGGCCGATACGGATACACGAGTGCACTGCGCTGCGCTTCGCGCACTCGTTTCACGCGCTGCCAATGAAGCACAAGAGAAAAGCGCGCTAGGCCGGCTGCAGCAATAGAACTACCGAGCACACCCCATGCACCTCACGCCGGTAAAAACCACATCTGGGACGCACCGGCCATCTGCGTTTGCTGGCGCCTCGCTCCTCAGCGCAATGTGCGCGATCGAGTAATCGCTGAGCCTTGCCATCGACGTCTTCGCGGGGCCCGCGTCGAGGGTTAGAAAGATACCTGAGTCTAAGAGGCAGCGCCCTGGGAGGCCGATGACGGCGCTGCCCGTCGCCGAGACTGCGCAGTGCAGTCCGTTGAAATGCGTCGGCATCTCCTTGCGAATCCGCCGATCCGGCGCGTGAGTTTCAAGGAGTCTCAGCAACAGCCTCGAGGCTGGGCCTCAGCCTCTGGGGGGGTTGCCGGGGTGGCTCTGCCGGGGAAAGGGGGTGGGGGGGGGGGGGGGGGGGGCGAGTTTCCGGCGGATGCGTTTTTTGACACTCCTCACGAGGATCGTGGCCTCCGAGGGGGTTCCGAACTCGAGCGCCACCCCTCCCGCGCCAAGAAGCTCCGAGGAGGCCTCCAAGAGGCCCCAAGGGGCGCAGAAGAGGCCCCCAAGAAGCCCCAAGAGGCTCCCAAGAGACCCCCAAGAAGCCCTCTAGCGGCCCCAAGAGGCCCAAGAGGCCCCCAAGAAGCCCCAAGAGCCGCCCAAGAGGCCCCCAGAAGTCCCAGCCAACCACGAGATCCCAACCAGCATCCATGAGGCCTCTGACCCACCACCCACGCACGGTGGCGGGATAGGCCGACGGCCACTGGATAAATGCTGAGTGAGAGGAGGGGAGGGAAAAAAAGAGGAGGGACAAGGGCGAAGAAGGATCACATCAGTCGGAGCGCCCCGGATCGGCGGCACTGGCCGAAGGCCACTACAAAATCTTGAATGCGATCGAAAAAGCGAGCGCCAGAGAGCCTCGCATGGCTTGTAGGTGCGAGCGCCAGTCTGCGGGGCAGACGAAGGCAGCGGCTCGTCGCAGCTATTCGGCACCCGTCCCCGATGCTGAAGTCGCCCATGGCATTGAACACCCTAGCAGGAAGTCGCTCCATATTCCAGCCTACCAGACCGCGCCAGGAAGAGGCAATGATCGGTCTGTCGGCGGGCGGGATGTCATAGCTGTGGACACTCGCGGTCTTCGCGGCGATGCTGGCGCCTGGATTCAGCGCGGAAATAAGGGCGACCCGACCGGGCACGAATTCATATAGTTGCACCTCTGGGCGCCGGGCGCCTCATGGACCATGCGGCCAAGGAAAAAGAAAAGCCGCCCCACCTCCGCCCGCCCGCGCTGCCTGAGAGTGGCGGAGTTAGCAGCGGCGCGGGAAGCTGCCAACGAGCACATTCAGCTGTTGCCGGGCGCCGCGCATTTCCCGAGCGAAGATGGGCGCCCCCTTCTTCGCGAAGCGCTCGAGCATCAACGGCCCGCGGCGACGACGACGAGCTTCGCCGCAGCACGAACCCCGAGCGCTCCATGAAATTACGCGGGCGCCCCCTTGCGTTGCACGCTCCAGCCAGGGGCTCCAGCACGTGCTAGATCGACCGCGCTGATGCATCAGCAGCCCGACACTAGCCGTTCGAATACAATGGTGATGTTCTGCCTGTTGATGCCCAATCGATGAACTGCAGCTCCATAGCAGCGAAGTCAGGCGGCAGCCGCTGCGTCGTCGCCGACCCCCACCGATACAACGGGGACAGAGTCGCAGGACACGATCTCGCCATCACCAATCTCGCAGAAGGAATGGCCCAAATGTCGCTCAGCAAGCATTCGGACGAGTCGCTGTGTTTGAAGTTCGCGTCGGAGTTGTTTGAAAGATCTGTCTGCCTTGATGCATTGCGGAGTGATGGCAGCATTCGCATTGTTCGCTGAGAAACTCCTCCATTGCCCAAACGTGCGTAAGTTCTGTGCCAACGGTAAACTCCGACAAGACGCTTCTGGTCCTCCCAGAACCCGCAACCAGAATCGTCGCGCAGGACGTTCCCAATCAAGTTCGCGTCGGATAACGCCACTCCAGTCGAGGTAATCCAATGCCCCAGTGCTCGTCGAACCTCGGCAGTCTGAATGGCAGATGGAGCCCCGATGGTGTAAACGCGTGAGTCAGGAAGTCTGTCCAGAGAGCGAAAGAGGCCATGTCCAGAAGGGGGTAGGGCAGCCTCAGCCATGGCCAAGGTCACCTAAGTACGTTCCACGTCTGCGCGTCGTTGCTGTTGTTCCTGCTCTACTGCAAAGGAACGCTGGCTGAGCTCCCTGACGGTGGTGTCAAGGCCGTCAACGCGCGAGCCCTACTGTCCAAGTTGTCCCAAAGCAGCCTGAAGTTCTCCATGCAGCGCCGCTTGAACTCCTTTAACGAGTGAACTGGCTTCCGCATGATGCCGAGTGGTGGCAAGCTCCACCTGCGCCTGTAAGAGGTCGGCGAGGTGTTGATCAAGAGAGACTTCTGGATCTGGTGTAGGCGGACCTCGTGGGATAGGTTGGAGTTGTCCTCCGTGTCGTGCAGTGGGGGTGCCCACTGGCGTAGCTGATGCCGGTGTTCCCCACGGATCACGCTGCTGAAAGGGGTCTCGCGGCCGTTCTGCATCAGGAAAGCTGGGGAAGTCCTCGAGCTCTTGTGCAAGCCGTTGTTCGTCCAATAGTTGTTGTGCTCCCTTTCTCTGTTGAGTCTGAGCAGCAGGGCCTCGCGAGGTACCTGCACGTTGATTGTCCTGATGTCTGTCTCGACCTCGGCTGTCGCGGTCATCATGTTGCTGCCGTCGCCCCCTATCATCACGCCTATTTCTGTATTCCCCATCGGCGAGGTTCTCTACTAGCCACTGGAATCGACGGAACACGCTCGCCTCTGTCCCTGCGGGAGCCGCTTGCCTCCTCACCTCTGCGCCTGGTCATGCGTCGTCCGGGGCATCGAGCGGGGCTGAAAGAACTGGATGCTTTGCTGGAAGATGGCGATGGCGATGACGATGACGATGATGGCGATGATACGGATGACGACGATGATGATGATGACGATGACGATGAGGATGCTGATACTGATGATGACAAGCATGATGATGATGATGATGGTGGCGGTGGTGGTGATGATGATGATCGACCGTATCTTGGAGAAGTTCGCCTACAGCTGCCCACTTAAAAGTAGCGCCCCGCACAGCAGCTGGGACACCGTCGAGCAGCACAGGACGGAGCGGCTGGCCGAAGGCACAGGTTGCCTCGGCTTTGTGCCAGCGCGCACAGCGAGAGGGCTGAAGCACGGCTCATCGCACAATTGGCGGCATGGTAACCGTTGGGGGCCGCAAGGCCCAGCTGATGGATGGGGGAAGACGGGAAGTCGAGGAGACGACGCAAGACAGGACGGGCGAGGCAGTGAGAAATCGCATCGGGTGCATCGACACAGCCCAGCGGGCAGGTGGTAGTGCCGCAAACATGCATTCGGGCCGACGTGGCCCAGCCCCCCGCGAGCGTCTTCAAAATGGACCATTGCCACGCTGGGCGAAAAGTGCGCAGAGTCTCGAGGCACTCCCCCCCACCGCTCCCCAACAATCCCCTCAATCAGCTGCAGTAAGCCCCAAGCACGCAGGCGCCCGGCGATGGCGCATTGGAACTCAGCGGGAAAAAGAGAGCGTCGAAGCGAGGAGGAGAAGATCCTGTGCACTTCGCCTTGCGTCCTGCAGCCTGGGCGTTACTGAGCTCTTCGCGCGCAGCAGTCGCGGCGGCATGCCAGTGCAAGTCAGAAACATCTACATCAAGCGAGCGAGCCGCCATGCCGCCGAAGCGCTGCACAATGCCCTGCCGAATGCGCTAGCAGGGAGCACTCCACTCGCCCCGCAGCCACGCAACGAGCGGCAGGTCTTGAATCGCCTGCCCCGACCAAGCTTGAAAGTCACCGCGTCAACCACACAAGGCGCGGCAAGCACAGCACCAGAGACTGGAGACGCTGAGCGGCTGCACAGAGGCAGGGGCGATGAGAGCGTGCTCTTTGAATTCGAACAGATCGGCCTTGCGAAACGTGCTAGGCGGCAAGCGAAGCACTTTCTGCAGGGCAAACTTCCTTTCGTGCAGAACCCAACGAGGGACGGGATAGAGCTGCGCAAGATAGCCGAGCACCGAGAGGGCAGTGCTTCTGCACAGCAACACGCTTACACTGGCGGGACTGGCTGCAGACGGAATCTCACAAACTCGAGACCACCATTTACGCGCAGCATCCGCCCAAACGGCATTTTCCGTCGCGCCGGG